AGACTCCCTTAAAGCTCCAACCATTTCCCGGGCTAGACCCGCCATTGCGGTTTTACCCGCTAACGCGGTTTGACCCGCTTGTTTCACTTGTTCGGCCACATTAGCTTGGCCTGACTCTTCTTCTTGCACCGGAACCTGCTGGGTCGGTACTTCATGTACACCTTGGCGAGCCCTACCACGCCTCTCACCTTTACCACCACGGGTTTGACCTCGTCCTGACATCTTATAAAGGACAATAGAAATGATTTAGCACACTAACCCATACATGCCCGCAATGTACCTCACATGTCTAATCACCGCAATTCTATACATTTCACTACTATATAGACATTTCAATATCATTCCACATAAGCACTTAGTCATGTAAACACATACGGATTATTTTTTCATGATGAAATTCGTCCTACAAAAAGCCAAGAATTCTTAGTAGAACGAGTATTGATCAAGCACCCTTCTAAAAAGACCTCAAGGAATTTAACAGGCCCAAACAACATCGCAAAAGTCCAACCCCATACCTACATAGCCACATAAGCATGTTATCACATAATCACAAAATGTATAACAACATCTTCCTATCATGCAACCTATCATGCATTATGAACCCATTGTGGTTAAACAACCACTTCCCACGAGCTCCAAGTATTCAAACTCTGTACGCTCTGATACCAAGTTGTAACGCCTTAATTTTCATGCCCAAATGATAATACAATAATCATGGCCCCTTTTAAATAAAACTAATAATAAATCCTCATACTTGCATTACATGATGTAAATAATCTTCATGCGATAGTACAATTAATCCAACAACAATTAATTAAACGACAATTACCCCCAAGGGTTTACAAGTTCCAAGGCTTGAGCGTGATTACACAAAACGGTCATTCAAACCCACACATATAAAGCCATTGGCTTGCAATCAGAGTCACAGCAAATTGAGCGCATTATGCTCTCTGCACACACTTCCACACCTTCAGTTAGGCGGAATCACCACATCTTTTCCTGCACAAAAATCCCATAAGGTGAGCATAATACCCAGTAGAGAATTCTTAACAAAGTATATACATTTTACACAAGTCTCAAGAGATGGAATGCTTATGCCAAGCCATGCCTTTTTGAAAGTACAACACACCATCTTTTGAAAACCAACATGCTCAATGATGTCATGCCATTTCAACTGCTCAACATTTGCCAAACTTTATTAGAGGAGCGGTAAATACAACTCTGGTAATCCCTAGGTCAGCGCCTGTAAGTAGACTACATGAGTACTACCAATTTGTCATTTTTACCAGTATCAACTGGAGGGTTCGACACGCATAATCTGTCATTTTTACCAGTATTAACTGGAAGGCTCGACATCTATTCTCTACACTAAGTTTCAAGACTTACCACTGTATTTACCACAATACCATTTCATAAAAACTTGTTTCTCAACATTTCTTTCTCAATGCAAATTTTCAAATCAACTTTCAAAGTTCAATGTAATCAAATGAATTGATATGCCAATGCAATAATAATCAATACAATGCAACAATTCTTCCATTTCAAACTCTTCCACACAATTCTACCATTGTGATCAAAATTCCCATTTCTCCTTTCCATGCAATTTCACAAGATGAATAAATATACATTTATTTCAATTCATCCAAGGGATAACATAATCCCCACATTTCAAACATTTCCAACAATTTAGACATTTCAAGACTCAATTCATCCAAGGGACAACATAATCCCCACATTTCAAACATTTCCAACAATTTAGTCATTTCAAGACTATATCAACACTTTCAAATAACAATTTCCAAAATGAGCAACAACTCTCATACTTCTCAAAATTTATCATTTATACAATATAAACAAGAAATTTTCCAAACATCACTTATTTTGGCATTCAAAATAAATATAACAATATCAACCATGGATTTTCAACTTCTCTTTTAAAAATCCCCAATTTCTAGGTTTTCTCACCACAACCATCCATCTTCAAACATTTGAGAAAAATATCACAAAAGTCTTCTTTCTTCAATCAACATAGTTCAAAACCCCCAATTTGTATTTCAAAGGATTAAATAGTAAACCCACTTTGACAATCACTCTTTTTCTTGAATCAACAACAAATTTTCAAAACAAATCAAAGGATGATTTCGAAAATCATCTTGATCTTGCAAAAACATATATATAACTCAAAGAACATCCCTACCTCAAGTTTGAAGAAGAAATGAGTTGAAAGTCCCAAAATCAACGACGATGAAACTCGATCTCTACCGCACACAACGTAGCTCTCGCCTAGACAACCAGCTTTGATGAAGAACTTGGATCTAAATCCCAATGGATTTGATGAAATCAAAGATCTTAGGATGTTTGGTGGAGATTTTTATAGAGAAGGGAGAGCAAACAACAATTTTAGAGAGAGAGAGAGATATAGAAAATGAGATACACTTCAGCCCAAAGAGAAAAAAATGAGAAAATTCGGATCCACCTAACCCCCACACGTGCGGAGGCCCTTCCTGCACCTCACTTCTGCACGTGCAATTTTAGCAGTGTGCAAGCTGCCCATGCCCTGAAATCTGCACGTACGGCCTCACTTCCCACGCGTGCCGCTCCTATCCCGCACGTGCGGCCTTGGTCCTCAGTCCGGAAGTGCCTCGACTCAACTCCCGATCCTCCGGACTTGACCTCGCACGCTCAGCGACAAGTGAAACATCACACCGGAATGAACAAGAGTGAGAAATTTTTGAGAAAATCCAAACACAACTTAACTCAAACGAGCAACAAGACTCTGTGTTGAAACCGATACTCTACCAGTATAAGCCAAAAAGGCGAACAAACAGGTACAAAAGACGCACAACAAAATCGGTCATCACAACAAGTATGAAATGAAAGCCAAACAGATAATAAGTGCCCTATAGGCTTGCAAATTTATCCAAGAACAGCCTTGGTTACACAAAATGGAGTTTCAACTCAACACAAATACAGCCCTGGGCTTACATTCAACAAATAACAATAAAATAAAAATGAAACCTCAACTTCGAGTCCTCCCAAGTCAATGCCTTGGTGCAGGCATAGCACCTGTACAAGAAATGATTTCCCTTATGAGGTGAGCCACAGCCCAGTAGAGATATACTACACAACATATGAACAATGACAAGACTAAAAAGCAGTATGCTCATACCATGCTCATGATAAAACAATTTATCTCTCTTTTTATAAAACATGCAATGCTGAGATGCAACAACAAATATAAAACCATTTACATTTTAAACCATATCTGTTACATGAATACGGGCCCTGTGAATCTCTAGGTGAGTGTCTGCAAGTAGGCCTCAATGCACTACCACTGTCATTTTTACCAATAAACTGGAAGGCTTGACACCTAACCGCGCGGTTCCACACCCCTTACCCAAATTCACCAAGTATTCATCTTTTCGCAAATAAATACATTTCCAACATTTCTAAAAAAAAAAAAAACAGATACATTTCCAATGAAATAAATGTAATGCAATGTCCAATGTAATGAATGAGGAATGTGGTTCAATTTACTTATGTCTCATGCATTTCTACAACAATCATGGCTAACCTCCACCGATAGCCCAAAACAAATATTTCTAAACGGATATTTAAACAATCAAATTCCAAAAAAAAAATTTCCGATCAATACAATCTATTCCAAATCTCGTCAAATATGAACAACTACACTAGTTTTCATATCACAATCACATCCAATAACCTCTCAAGGTCCATTTCTAACCGTCTCGGTTTTATTCTAACAAATACATTAAACAAAATTATACCGTTAATGCCCAAGAAAACATCATTTTCTTTCCAAACTCATTCTCCAAGCATTATTCAACTATGACATCTTATTTTGATCAAAAGCCCCAAAAGTTAAACGTAATTCCTTTGTTTTCTTTAAAAATGCTCTTTTAGTCGCAAACCGGTAAAAATTTCAAAGCCGAACGAGTCGAAGTCCATTGTTGTTCAAATTTAAACCATAGCTTTTCATAACCTTACAAACATATTCCAAGTTTACACTTTCACAATTTGGGCATCAACTCTTTCTTTTTCTCTAAATTTCTCTTTTAAGCAAATAAATCACAAATTTTTTAAAAATTCTAATTAAATTATATACAACTCTAAACTCAATATAATCAAGTAAAAGTGCATAAAGAAGTGTAGGAAAAATCCCTACCTTTAGAAGAGAAGAGGAGAAAAGGCCCAAAAAAAAAATCAATCTTCCCGAAATTCAATCTCCACCAGTCAAAACGATGTCCTCAACATGCTCATCATTTTGGCCAAATTTGATATAATAGCAATGTTTGAAATCCTTTCAGAAGAGTCCGTTATCATATCACTCATAGTCCCCTGAGGGAAATTTCTGCAATCTATGCAGGCCATTATAATGTCTCTTTCTGATAACTGTTTCCCTAAAAGACAACCCCATGCTTTATAACCATTTATCCAGGCTCCACCTGTTATAAATGCAACAACCACTGCAGGAAATTTAACTTTTAGTGGCGTTTAAAAAATGCCTCTATAAGTGTCAAAAACGCCGCCAATTCTTTTTGTGACGCTTATTACCAAACGCCGAGGACGCGACCGTCGCTATAGCTTTATGGCGTTTCAAAAACGTCGTGATATAAAAACGCCGCCAAATGTCCTACTAAATACATGCTGACGTCACTTACAATATTTAGTGACGTTTTGAAAAAACGCCGTCATATATTTTTCAAAATATGTAGGGTTTAAGAGGCGTTTGTAGAAATGACGTCATATCCTCCTCTTTTTTTAAAAAAAAAAATTATGCTAATTTTATTTGATTAAACTAAAAAAATACAAATCATTGCAAATATAAATAACACCCAGCTCATTAACCCAAATTGTTGATCATTTTATCCACATAATTTCCCATTTAGCGCAATTAAGCAACAAATTTACAACCCTGGACTTCATATCAAATAAAAAAGGCATTCAACCACAATGGTCAATTGCTCTTCTTCTTCCTGCTAATCATACTCCCTCCAGGAGTAAATCAGAAAGAAAACCCATGAAAGTGCTAACACAAAATCACCAACTAACTGCCTTGGCCAATCTCGAGCCAAATTGTCGAGTCTCCTCTCAAAATACACCCTCCAGAGGGCCATTGAGACATGAAGAAGAACACAACCTTTGGCAAAGATACTCTGAAACGCTCTGTCCTCAACAAAAGCTACCATGAACAGCAGTAACCCAATCACAAATAGAAGCAACCTAGCAAACGAATCAGATATTTGTATCAACAACTGGTCGTGTGGTGTTGATCCCATAAGCTTTTGAGTTGTTTCGGTACCATGGCCGAAAACACAGATTTCTTTGAGATAAAACATTATCAGAGCACCATAGATTAGAGTAATAGCTGAATAGAGCATACAGATTGTGAAGAATCGATCAAAAGCTAAAAGCCCTATCTTGTGAAGTAAATTTCTATAAACCCAGTATCATTTACAGTATTGATTCCCTAAAATTGGGATTGAAAAACATATCCCCAAAAAAAAAGAAAAGAAATTAAAACTTTAATCCCAAACTTGTAAGCCAATTTCCAGCTCCAAAGTCCAAACCCTACCAAAAATATACATAGCAAATAGTTGGTCATTAAGAGAAATTACTATAAACCCAGTATGGTTTACAATGTTGATGATCTGGAAACTGTGATTGGAAGTGGAAACTCCAAGCTTAGATCAGGGTCTTCAGGGCCAAAAGATTAAAGGTGCTTATAAAAACTAATGCTTTATGTTAGTACTATTACTTTGTTAGTTCTTCTTCTTCTTCTTATTCTTCTTCTTCTCTTTCTTTGAAAGGTGAACCTATATTTAATAAGAGCAAGTATTGTAATTAATAAGATATGATATTTGTCGAAAAAGCTGATTAAATGATTACTCACCTCTTGGGATGTGACATTGGCCGAATAGTGGGATGACTACTAAGTGAATCCACAACCTATAATTCAATAAGAAGCTGAAGTTGTATATTAGCTCTAGGTAATTGAAAAAAAAAAAAAAGCTTTTTAGCTCTGCTGCCATAGAGTATTTAATTCAGTAAGTGGTTAAAACAAGAAGATGACTCACATTAGGAGTATTTAATCGTGTTGCACATCAGAAGAAGCCGCAAATTAATAGTTATTACAAGACAATTGAAGACCGTTGTGCTGACATCCCAAAGGCCAAACATCTTGCCATTCGAATCAACACTGTTAGAACTGGAAGTGATCGCAAAATTGTTTATGACTAACACCCTCTTAAAATTTTCAAAACTTTGTGATCAATACAAGAAGTCCTTCCAGAAAATGTTATCAAACGGAGCAGTAATTGGTTTTGAAAGAAAAAATAATAATCATCAACTGAAAAATAAATAAATAAATTATAGCAGTTGGGCTTCTAAGAGTATAACCTGCCACCCAATTAAATTCCCAACCTTGATTTCAATATGCTACTTTGCTAAACAAATATATTTTTTAGCTGACTTTTCACTGCATCTCTCATAAAGCGTGCGATCTCCACTTGGTCACCCTGGCCATAGAATTTAAAGCAACTTTTAAATTACAATAATCTAGAGACACAACTCCAACCACGACCCTTACACATACCTGCATGTAGGGCATGTGGGGGATGTGGTTGGAATTGAGTTCCCTAAATTTCTCTTTAACATATTGAATTGAACGCTCTGAAAAATGAATTTGATGTATTTACATGAAAAATCAAACCAGACAAGAAAGCTCCTTACTCTGCTTTCTACTTCTCTAATTTCATCAGTTTCTGAACTGATAATAAACTGTTTCATGTCATTATCAATCAACTTGCATGCTGAGTCAAAGAAAAACAGAGAAATATGATTTAAGTTGTTACTAATAAATAAATAAATAAGGAAACAACATATCTATAGTAAGAATTTTTTTTTTTATAAATGATGCCAAAACTCTTTTAAATACTAACCATAAGCTATATTAATGGCTATTTCCATCTTGTCCCCTGTAAGAACCCAAATCTGATTCCAGAAATAAAAAATTATTTGTTCAAAACCGATGCATACCTCATCCAATTTTTCTCACGGAACTATTAATATTAAAGGAACTATTTGTGATCCACCCTTGAGCAGGTCAAATACTGTAACAGTGTGATCCCTACCTCAATTGAAACATAAAGAGAAATGGGGATAATTGGTGAATACAAAGTAATTAGGGTAAACATATTTAAAAAAGCAACCTGTAAAAGAAATAAACAACATCAATAACGTGAGCGCACACCGCCTAATTACTAAAGTAAGGAAAAAGAGGTTGAAGAGCTTTGAAGTTAGATTTCCTATACAAGAGTTGAGAAGATACAAAAGCAGAAATAATGAAAGAAAATTGTGTTACTCACAATAGTAGGAGGCATCCATTTGATATCCCAAAGGAAGTCTGTATGTTCCAACAAGCTTGGTACCCGTTAAGTGGTGGGTGGAACATTGGCTGGTCAAGCAAGTCTGGAAAGTAACTTCCAATAAAACCCTGGTCTGCGCCATCTGGGTTATTTCTCTCAATGTCCAACTCATGAAGCATGTCATTAAACACCTTCATTGATGGCTGCAATTCCATATTCCAAATAAAAATCTCAGTTTCTATAAAACATGACGCTTCTTTTTTTTTGATTTTTTTTTATTGGAGAATCAATTCGTTGAAATTTTGTTGATATTTAAACATGAGTTTTGAGAAGCTCCAAGGGAAGAGTGACAAAAAGCTAAGATAATTTTATCACTTTTCCATTCCCTTTTCCTTTACTTCCACAAATCCCTGCTCAAATCTAAGATCCAAACTCAGTGTAAAACATCTAAAAGAACTCTATTAGAAATTGTATTAATGTTCAGTGAATCGCATCTCTGAGCAGTACACCATCTAGAACATGATTCAGAGGAGGTAGATTTGAGTAGCTGTAGGAAAACCCCAACACAAAAATGTAAGAGGTAGATTTTACCTCTAATACAAAGAGGCCAGTATGGAAGATGCAGGGGTTGATAAAAACTGCACAAAACTGACCACATTTGAACAACTCGTCTATTTTTTGGAGGAAGAGGTTGTCAGAATCAGGCATAACCACCCTGTCATAGTCCACTAGTTTCCACGCAAGAGTTTGTTCAACGTTAACTTGAATCTCCTGTCAAAATTAAGTTGATTCTTGTATGGATTGTTCAGATTCTCTACGCTCATCACCTTCGCCCCATCTTCCTGTTAGGCCCTTTTCTCTAGTTAGACAAATTTTTTTTTGACTTGCATGTGTATGAGAGAGAGAGAGAGAGAGAGAATGGAAGAAGTATGAAGCATAAAAAGAAGGAGAAGAGAGGAGAAGATGAGATAAAAAAGGGTGTCAGACTATTACCATGTTTAGGTTCAAAACAAAAAAACATTGAAGAATGTTTCTAGATTTATATATACATGAACCAATACAAGAAAAGGCCAGTGACGAAGGAACTTTACCCCAATCAAGACTTAGAAGAGACAAAGAAAGACATTTTCTGTTAAATGCAAGAAGAAATTACTAAGCATTAGTCATTTTTTCGCAATCAATGGCACATGACAACTATTCCAATTTTAAAAATCATTACAAAAAATTCTAGATCGATTCTGTACTCTACAGATTACACATTTCAGATACAGGGAGAAAACATGAAATTAAGAACAGTATAACAAAGGATAACTCATTATAGGTGTGTGATGTAAAAGTAAAATTTAAATTTAACAGTAATTTATTACCTTCCCTTCAACATGCATGCCCATCAAATGCAACTTTGCCCGCATTCCAAAACCCAATCTCTTACTTAATTTCACAGCAAGTATTGCACTCATATCATCTGCAGTCCGAAAATTCATTCCCAACTCCAAAACCTGCATTTAATGAATTTCAACTATTATTCTGGCTACGAAACAGATTATGACTAGAAGTAATACATTATTGACATGAATCCACCATGACTAAGACAGTATTACATACCAAGTGGTCGTCATCATTGGTTTGATGAAGAACCCTCATTTCTGTGAACACAGGTGGTGATCGTCCCATATACAGATGCTGAACTAGAAAAATGGAACAAGGACAACAATTAATCGTATTTAGGAGGGTAGACTCGTACCACAGTCCATGGTTTGTACTTCTCCAAGAACCAAGGTATGCTAGGGAGGAGAATTTTCTGTGAAACAATGGGCTCCATACAAACAGGCCAAATCTTTTCAACCACATGGTTCAACCACCGCACAGTTTCAGAATCAAAGAGTACCTTTAGAAAAGCAAAAAAAAAAAAAAAAGTTGAAATTATAAACATTTATACATATTCATACGGGCAAGAAGGTAAATTCTCAGAAGGAATCTCAATATCTAACTGCATACATATATGTACATAGCAACATACATACATAGAGATAATAAAAAAGATGCAAAGAAAAAATGCCACATATTTGTTTGAGAAGTTAACTTTTTTATCCCCAAATTATAAAGTTGTTAATACAACTTCAACAGTATGTCTTCCAATCAAATTTGATCAGGTAAAGCAGTTCAAAACAGCACAATGTTAGGGTCTTCAAGTTCTGGTTTCGCTGTCCTTAGTACAAACACCAAAAAATCACCATGAACTTTCTTTATTACCCATACTTCTTTCCATTACATGGTAACTAATATATACTCAAAAAATCGTAATCATCATACAACAAATAAAAGCATCAGATTGCCTTACCAAATTATGAACAAAGTTGACTTAATTAAGGTTTATTTTCGAAACCCAGAAAATTAGGATTTTTGCTTATATGGATTATGACAGAACAATGTTAGGGTCTTCAAGCTCTGGTTTCACTGTCCTTAGTACGTAAGATTATTAGTGGTAGCCAAAAGGAAATGGGACAATGATGACTTATGATTAAGGTAGGTGACTTGGTTTTCTCTTTGTGAGGGGTGTGAAAGAAGGTTGTTGCTACTAAGTTATGTTTGATTCTCAAGAAAAGGCAAGAAAAAAAGAAAAAAAAAAAAGGTGAAATCATTTGATTTTTGCTTGTTCACTTTAGGGATATTGGCAACAAAGTGGCAATCCCTTGTTCAGAAAGCTTCATTTCTAAGGCAATATGATCTTTGTTTCATATACTAAACATCTTGAGAAAAGCTCAAAGCAAAGACCTATGTGTGATGATTGTTTCCAAAATCAAAATGACAGCAAAACACTAAAGCAAGAAACTTATATAGCATAAAGGTTAGCCACACATAAACCCATAAATTCTATGACGATGTTTCACTAAGCCAATAGTCAAAAGATCTTTTGGATTCTTACCATATTCCTTCGAGGATGCTGAAGTGGTGATTTTGCAGACAAAGATGAGGAATCACAACCAGCCTTTGCTTTATTTGAAGAACTTTTAGTATTTTTAAAGGGGTCTTGTATTCTTGCACTCTTTTGAACAATATATATCTACAGAAAAAATAAGTTACAGATCACAGAGAGACACATCAATTTCATTTATTGCAGATAAACATTAAACAAATTATTACAGATTCAATGCCTTTAAAAATTAATACTGTTACAATAATAACCTGGTTAGCCAATCTAATTATTCTTTGAACAAATCCATTTTTTTCTGATGTGGGCAACAAATTTGATTCAACAAACGGTCTAGTATGACCAGCAAAAATTGACGTATACCTGTTTGACCAATCTAATTATGCTTTGAGTGGCTTGTACTGAGCACATTATTCTTATTGGATTTAGGAAGTGAATGAGCACCTGACCTTGAAGCAGGTATTTCATTTTTCCGACTCAACTCTGCAACGAAAGTGTAGTGTTTTTCTGCGATCGATCTATACAATTAAAATCAATTAAAGTTTCACTTCTTTCTCGAGAACCGAGATTAAAACTAGAAACTCTCAACCGAAACTCAAAAAAGAAAAAAAAAAGAGTTGAAAAGTAGTAAAATGATGAACACGTGAGAAAAGAGAAGAAAGAAGAGCGATGAATTGAGGAAATGTAGAGAGGACATAATCGAATCAAAAGAATACAGACTCACGAATACCTGGAGCAAAGCATTGCACTGTTTACGAATGCCTATGAACTACATAATGCCTATGAGAATTGCACTATTTAGAGCTGAATAAACTTAGAAAATGAATAAATTTACTCGTCCATAACTGGTAAAAAAGGTTATCCCTAATCAAAGCATGGGAAGAAAGTGAGAAGTCAAAAGCAGAGAACAACTAAGATTTTTTTCAAATATATGATGTTATTTCAGAGGTAATGAGAAGTTTTCTCAGCAACCAAACAAAGGATCGAAAGCACAATCTAGAGTTCTGAGATTGTAGAGCTCTGAGATTGTAAAACAAAGGACCGAAAGCACTAACCTCTGATTGAAGAGATGAAGAGTTCCAAATCGAACTTTGAAATCACAGAGCTGAAGCAGATTTTGAAGGATTCGATTGGTTTTTCTGAGATTGTAGACGGTGGTGCTCAAAATCGAACTTCGAAATTGCAATCGCTCTGAGAAACTACGAGATTGAAGCCATACGGTTGCAGATAGGTTGGGTCTGAGAAACTTAGAAATCGCAATCGCTCTGAAGAAGAATCGAGAGAGAGCAAGAGAGTGAGAGATTTGAGTGAGTGATAACTTCGAACTTGACGGCCGTGGGTTTTCAAAATAAAGGTGTGGAGAGACAAAATAGGGTTTGTCATTTGGAGGCGCTTCCAAGCGTCTTCTATTCATAAAACGGGGTCGTTTTGATTAACAACAAAAGCGACGTTTAAAAAACGCCGCTAATTGTTCAAAAAAGTGACGTTTCATAAAACGTCGTTAATTAAACGCCGTAAAATCTCTAATTTCCTGTAGTGAACTGGCTTCGGGCCATCGGTATTTTTAGGTAAATACAGATCCAGGCTATTTCTTGGTTGATCACCATAAACTATACCTCTACGAACTTGCCTTGAGAAGAAATAGTAAAACGCAGCTTGAATAAAACTAGGGAAAATTAGAAAAGCATAACAGCCAATGGCAAGTAATCTTGTGATGCATCTGTAGCCAACCCCGATATATCACAAGAGGTTGAATCCAAGTCGAGTCATCAGATTGGTCGCCGACGCCGCATCCCCAATGCCCTCACCAAACGACTTGCCACCGCCGCCGGAAAGAGAAGAGAGAGAAGACTCGGTGGCAGTCCGACGCCATCTTTTCTGGTAGAATTTCGAACCACCAGTGGCAGTGCTTATATAGCTGGAAGCACTAGGAAAAATGGTTTTGACTTTAATTGCCCTCTCTTCCTCAAATTGTGGAGAAATCAAAAGCCGAGTAACTGACACACCTTCCTCCGCTGACATCAGTAACATCTTCTCCACTGCCATTGTCCCACATGGGTTTGACAGAGGAAGGATCTGTGACTGCATTTTTTTATGAGAGAGAGAGAGAGAAATGATTGGGAGAGTTCAGGCGGCCTTAAGAATAATCAGACCCATCTCTCTCAAAATGGGTTCACCTTTCATAATTTGTTGCTTCAGACTTTGCTCATGCAACAATTTGCCTCCCATCTGCTGCTAAACCAGCAACTGCCATGCCAGAATGACGATGAACAACATGAATTTTTCTATTGGAACCATGTAGAATCATCTTTGATTCCATGAGCTTCTGCACACCCAAGATGTGGTGGTGGAGTGGTGTTGTAAGCAAGAGAGTGAAGGTCACCATTTCTCTGGATATGCTGTGTCGTGTCCTCATGCTCATGAATGATGAGAAAAAAATGGTTGTAACTAAGAAGAGAGAGAAGGAGATATATTAATATTCAAACCCCTCCTCATCATACCCCACGAGAGAGAGACAAGAGAGTGCATTATTTTCTCTTTAATCATTTTCTTCCACCAAAAGTGAGCAACCCTCTCAAATGAATTTCCACCACCACATTTTTATATTTTTATTTGGGTCTTTACACAAAATATTTCAGAAATGATTTGTAAAGCTATTTTGGATATATAGGCTGAAGTAGAGTGACTTATATACTATTTAATATATTATACAAATATATAATAATAGAATAAAATATTAAATATATTATTTTCGGGCTGAGCAAGGCTACAAATTTGAATACATTCTGCCCATTTATTAAATATGCCTAAAATATTGGTTCACCCTAGCCATGCGGGCTAAACTAGCCTTTTCAAGTCCTAAAAAAATAGAGTTGGGTCGGGGGAATCAGATCCTCTCCTTAACTTCTCTCCTTGACTCCCTACTTACTAGGTCATTGGGCCCATTTTTGGGTCCAATTTCAATGATCCGAACCGTTTACATTTTAAGATTTGTGAGTATATCGTACCTGTAAAAAATCAAATTGATCAGATATCAGAAAGCATGTGTTCAGAAAAAATTTATTAAATTTTTTAAAAAAATGGTTTTTAGTTCGATGATTCGAACACGTAGCTTCTGATATCCAATCAACTTAATTTTTTACAAGTACGATATACTCAACAAATCTTAAAATGTGAACGATTCGGATTATTGAAATTGGACCCAAATGTGGGTCCAATAGCCTAACAAGCAGGGAGTCAAGGAGAGAAGTTAAAGGTAAAGATCTTGACTCTGGGTCGGGCCGGCTGGGCAGCTAATAGGTCAATGTCCACTCCCATCTATGATAGTGTCTTTTTTTTTTTCAAACTATTTTAGAGTCAACCTAGTTAAAAAAATATATATAAGAAAAATTGTTTGTAAATCCATTGATGGGTGTGCACAGTATTAAGGCCAAGTTTGGGAACACCCCAAAAAGTCAAAAAGTCAAAAAGTTACTCAAAAAGTTAAAAAGTTATCACTATTCACCAAAAGTCAACAATTACGGCTGCACAACTCCCAATTCTAATTTTCTCCTACAAATCAATTTTTACAATTTTTTATTACATATTTTTCCATAAAAAGTCAAAAAGTTAACCCAAACATTCATATTTTCAACCTCAACTTTTTAGTCTAAAAAGACAAAAAGTGCACTTATTTAGTCTTCCCAAACTTGGCCTAAGTCTAAGAATTTGTATGTTTGTTGGTGATAAGGATACATTTATTAAATTATATTGGTGAGAACAAGGCGCGTGGCCAATTAAGTCATAGATTTTCCAGAAGGCTGTGCATAGTTTTAAAATCAGTTGTTTAGAATGTGAGATTCAATGTTTGTGAATTTCATGTGATCCAATTCTGAGTTTAGAACTCTTGTTTAATTCATGTTTTGTGTTCTTGAGAGAAGCCTGCAAACAAAACAGTGGAGGGAAATTTTTTAAGTCAAATGCCTAAACACTGGAAGGAAATTTTTTATTTTTTATTTGTAACAAATCTAATTAAAAATATTTGTTAAAAGACAACAAGAATACACTATTTTAGCTATAGTGTTGCATAAGCACCCTGCCATTTAGGCATTGTTTGTTTGGGGGATGACTATGGGATTGGATATTAATTTAATAAATTACATAATTCAATCAAACATAATTAGAGTCTGGACTTCTAATCCACATGGACATGTGTTATCTTCCATATAGGAAGGGTGAGATAGGAGATTAAGGAGAAGGTTTGGTTAATTTACTAAAATACAAAATTGGTAGAATTTTGTTAATCCTTGTAATCTTGGGTAAATTCAAACATAAGATAAAATACACAATCTAAATGAATTGATAATATCCAAATTAACCGCCCTCAAAATGTTGGGCAAGTTTGGCAGTATACTAAAATAGACAAAAAGTTACTACTAAAAAATTAATTATACTTTTTGTTTTTTTTTGCACGTTTTTTCAAAAAAAGTCAACTAAAATAGTTAATTTCTAAAACATCTACTTATAAACAAACACGGAGAAATTTTTCAATACTTTTAGAGCAAATATTGGTGGTGCTCCAAAGTAGTAGTTATTGGTTTAAACTATAGGATCTACTACTTTTATGTTAGAGTTTTAAGAGATAATTGATTAGGTGTCAACTTGTAAATGAAATAGAGTATTACTCCAGAAGTATTGAATATAATTTTTTAGCAAACATGGTTTACAAGTTAGACTGCCCTTATCCATACAACTACCATTTTCTACCAAATCTAAAGACTTTTGAATAGGGATGGCAATTTGAACTTTGAGTGGTTTTTTCCTGAAAAATATCCCTGATGGGATGGGGATGGTATTCAAAAATCCATCCCCGATCAGTTTCAGGCTGGGGACGGGGATAAGTGTCCTAGCCTCGGTTTGTCCCCGAAGTAAAATCACCATTTTACCCCGCTATATATATAAACCAAACCCTACATCATTACACAATCCCTCACACACACACACGCACGTGCGCCTCTCCATCTTCTCTCTCTCTCGGTCTCTCTCTCTCTCTCCAAAACGCTCCCATCACCGCCGCGACTCCCTCCCTCTGCTATCCTTCTCTCCCTCCTCTCATCACTGCCAATCTGCAATGATCATCACCGCCGACTCCCTCCCCCCGCTGTCCTCCTCTCCCTCATCCTCTATTATCCTCCTCTCCCTCCTCTTATCACCGCCAATCTACAACGATCGAGCCAAAATTGAGATTTGCGACAATCTAAACTCAGATTTGTTATCTCTCTCTCTCTCTCTCTCTTTCTCTCTGTGATCTGATCCATGTGAGATGATTGTTGGTATTGTTGTTGAAACATTTTTTTTTTTCAAATTAATTTTTTAAAAAAATTTAAAGCTGTATGATACTGAAAACAAATTTAAATTTAATTTAAATCTATATTGTTAAAAAAATAAATTTAATATTTTTAATTATACACATTGATATTTTGATGATGATGAAACATACTGATATATATTGATTTGATCTTTTGTTGAACAAATTTTTAAAAAAAAAAAAACTCGGAGATTTTTCGGGGTTGGGGAAACCCGATTCCCGTTAGGGGATGGGGAGCCGGGGAATGTTTGGGGTCGGGGAAACCTGATCCCCATTAGGGGGCGGGGGTGGGGGCGGGGACGGGGAGTTTTTAACCTTTGGGGATCGGGGATGGGGAGTGTAGTCCCCGGCATTACCCCAGCCCATTGTCATTCCTACTTCTGAACAAAGAGGCTACATATAATATACTCATAAGGGCACACTTATGGATTGATAATTTAGGAGAGGAAGTGAAGGATTTTGAAGAGTAGAGTTACTTAACATTATGTGTCAACCTAGTTGGATATGTTCTTCAAGAATGATGCTAGTTTTACTTTGCTTTCTTGTTTGATGTAATCTATTTGAACTTCTTGAACTTTGATTTACATCAATAAATTTATTTTTGTCTATAAAAAAATATTATGTTTAGTTCACTTTTATGTTGTGTTTGGTTGGGGTATTTGGGAAGGGATTTAGAAAGAGAAAGGAAAAAGGTGTGTGAAATTAGGTGAAATGTAAGTATATTTTATTCACATTTCACCTACTTTTTACATTTCCTTTTTCAA